TTTTCTTGTGGCAACAGGTCACAAATCTTGCAGCTGTGATGGCACACTGTGGTTTTTCACCCAGTAGATAAGGGAGTTTATCAAAATTGGGTTTGTTTTCGAATTCTTTGTGGATCGCTGTAATCTGAGGGAAATATGTGTCTCTAATATGGTCATACATTTGGCAGGAGGTTAGGAAGTGCAGCTCAGTTTCATCCTCATTTTGTGGGCAGTGTGCACATAGCCTGTCTTCTCTTGAGAGCCAGGTCTGCCTACGGCAGCCTTTCTCAATAGCAAGGCTATGCTCACTGAGTCTGTACATAGTCAAAGCTTTCCTTAAGTTTGGGTCAGTCACAGTGGTCAGGTATTCTGCCACTGTGTACTCTCTGTTTAGGGCCAAATAGCATTCTAGTTTGCTCTGTTTTTTTGTTTGTTCTTTCCAATGTGTCAAGTAATTCTCTTTTTGTTTTCTCATGATTTGGTTGGGTCTAATTGTGTTGTTGTTGTTGTTGTCCTGGGGCTCTGTGGGGTCTGTTTGTGTTTATGAACAGAGCCTCAGGACCAGCTTACTTAGGGGACTCTTCTCCAAGTTCATCTCTCTGTAGGTGATGGCTTTGTTATGGAAGGTTTGGGAATCGCTTCCTTTTAAGTGGTTATAGAATTTAACGGCTCTTTTCTGGATTTTGATAATTAGCGGATATTGGCCTAATTCTGCTCTGCAGGCATTATTTGGTGTTTTACGTTGTACACGGAGGATGTTTTTGCAGAATTCTGCATGCAGAGTCTCAATTTGGTGTTTGTCCCATTTTGTGAATTCTTGGGTGGTGAGCGGACCCCAGACCTCACAACCATAAAGGGCAATGGGTTCTATAACTGATTCAAGTATTTTTAGCCAGATCCTAATTGGTATGTCAAATTTTATGTTCCTTTTGATGGCATAGAAGGCTTTTCTTGCCTTGTCTCTCAGATCGTTCACATCTTTGTGGAAGTTACCTGTGGCGCTGATGTTTAGGCCGAGGTATGTATAGTTTTTTGTGTGCTCTAGGGCAACAGTGTCTAGATGGAATTTGTATTTGTGGTCCTGGCAGCTGGACCTTTTTTGGAACACCATTATTTTTGTCTTACTGAGATTTACTGTCAGGGCCCAGGTCTGACAGAATCTGTGCAGAAGATCTAGGTGCTGCTGTAGGCCCTCCTTGGTTGGTGACAGAAGCACCAGATCATCAGCAAACAGTAGACATTTGACTTCAGATTCTAGTAGGGTGAGGCCGGGTGCTATAGACTGTTATAGTGCCCTCGCCAATTCATTGATATATACAGTGAGGGAAAAAAGTTTTTGTACGATTTTGTACGTTTTCCCACTGACAAAGAAATGATCAGTCTATAATTTTAATGGCAGGTTTATTTGAACAGTGAGAGACAGAATAACAACAACAAAATCCAGAAAAACGCATGTCAAAAATGTTATTAATTGATTTGCATTTGAATGAGGGAAATAAGTATTTGACCCCTCTGCAAAACATGACTTAGTACTTGGTGGCAAAACCCTTGTTGGCAATCACAGAGGTCAGACGTTTCTTGTAGTTGGCCACCAGGTTTGCACACATCTCAGGAGGGATTTTGTCCCACTCCTCTTTGCAGTTCTTCTCCAAGTCATTAAGGTTTCGAGGCTGACGTTTGGCAACTCAAACCTTCAGCTCCCTCCACAGATTTTCTATGGGATTAAGGTCTGGAGACTGGCTAGGCCACTCCAGGATCTTAATGTGCTTCTTCAAACCCACAACCCTGGCGTTGCAAACACCATGCTCTACCAACTGAGCTACATCCCTATATTTATAGTGTTGTAACAATGTGCAAATAGTTAAAGTACAAATGGGGAAATAAATAAACATTAATATGGGTTGTATTTACAATGGTGTTTGTTCTTCACTGGTTGCCCTTTTCTTTTGGCAACAGGTCACAAATCTTGCTGCTGTGATGGCACACTGTGGTTTTTCACCCAGTAGATAAGGGAGTTTATCAAAATTGGGTTTGTTTTCGAATTCTTTGTGGATCTCTGTAATATGAGGGAAATATGTGTCTCTAAGATGGTCATACATTTGGCAGGAGGTTAGGAAGTGCAGCTCAGTTTCCACCTCATTTTCCCTCTCTCTCTCTCCTTCCCTTGTTCCTTCATTCTGTCAGGCTGAAGTCTGTGATCACAGTGAACAGCTGTCAGACTGGACCTCTCAGTGCGTGGTGTGTGTGTGTGGAGGGGAGTGAACGAGAGCACATTCCTGTGGTCAATAGGGAGTCTGTGAATCCTCTTTAGAACAGAGAAGAGAAGGATGCTTGTGCCTTTGTGTCTGTGTAGTGTGAGTGTATGTTTGAGAGAGGGAGACAGAGAGAGCAAGAGAAGGAGAGAAGGGTGTGTGTGTGTGTGTGTGTGTGTGTGTGTGTGTGTGTGTGTGTGTGTGTCTGCTTGCCTGAATGTGTTTGTGATTCATGCCCATGGTTCGTTGCCATCTGGAAGTGGTTCTACATGGTTCTGTCCTGACTGAGACTGAGGAGGCTTTATCCTCTGGTGTCAGACTCTGTGAAGGCCGGACAGCAGAGAGAGAGGAGGAACAGCTAGCCAGGGGAAAGAGGAAAACAGTAACAGTAGAGACTAAGGGTCAGTTTCCCAGACACAGATTCAACTTAGTCCTGGACTAAGAAACTCTGTCAATGGAGAATCTCCACTGAACATGCTTTTTAGTAAAAAACTAGGCTTAGTCTGGGTCTGGAAAACCACCCCTAAGAGTTAAGAGGAGAGGTGTGTGTGTGTGTGTTTTTAATTTCCTTGCCTAGTTCTCTGTGTCACGTTTTTCATTACGCTGCTCTTGGAGTATGTAGCTATGGATGCTGTGTTGCTTAGATACAGAGGTAGGGCCACTGGTGTGAGAAAGTAGGGTTATCGTTTTAGACTGTTTAATTAGGACTGTTTGATCAGGACTGTTTAATTAGAGAGTGACACACACCATGGTGTGTGAGCGGTCTCTATGAAGAGGTTTCAGAGAGGTTAAAGTCAGGAGCAGGGTTGGGTGTGTGTGTGTGTGTGTGTGTGTGTGTGTGTGTGTGTGTGTGTGTGTGTCTGTGCGAGTGCGGGGTTGGGTGGGGTCGGCGTTCCCAGTCAGTGTCCGTCTGTAATTATGGGAAAAGCAGCAGGGTTAAGCGCCGAGACTGGAACACCAGGACAGACAGGAGGATCATAGACGATGGGACAAACCGCTCCGACGGGATGGGATGGGATGGGAATACTCATGGGAACAGAATGATCTCAGGAAACTCAGGGAGCCACTGTGGGAAAGTTTTAGAGCGAGTCATCCTACTGTGAAGTGTTGTTGTTTATGTTTACCAGTTTTTTTTTACAGTCATACTCCAGTTGTGTAACTATGATAGGGATACTCCCTATAAACAGGGCATCTGATTGGCTGAGACAAGGGGTGTGCCGTGTGTGTGTGACTGCATCATGGAATGTGGTTGCTGGTGTTTGATTGGCTGTAATTAGACAGACAGCGACATCACATCCTTTTGGCTATTGACCTTTAAGATCTAGACTTCAAGGCCTGTGTCTGATCCTTTTCGAACCTTAGAGGGGTCAGCAAAGGATCAACAGGCAGACAGGGCCAAGAGCCGAAACATGTTGGTCGTACTTTTAACAATAAATAACTTCCACTGTCCTCCAGTTGCTGAAATTCCTTTTCACTGCAGTTTGTTCCTCAATCTATGCAGCTTGGTTGGAGAGCGAAGTAGCAGCAGTGTTTCCTTCCGCAAGACTCCAGACAGACATAAAAAAAGGATTAGATAGAAAGATAGATGGATGGATGTGATATTAGGTTGTATCGGCAGTTTCTGCTAGACACTTTTGCTTATCTAAACAAAAGTTATCCTATAACATGTGAACCACACATGCACTCTCTCTCACATACACACAGTCGGACCTCCCCAGGCCAGATCTGCACCAGCTTTTAGTTTACAATGAAAATGTAGGGTAAGGTCACCATAAACATATAATTCTGCATCTCAAATGTCATTCTATTCCCTATATAGTGCACTACTTTTCACCAGGGCCCATAGGATGTGTGTGTGTGTGCGCACACGCATTCTTGTGTGTGCATGCATGTGTCCGTGTGTGTGGTTATGTAATCTAATACTTAATTCAACCCAAATTCCTCAGCCTTCAGTCAATGGAGAAGAGAGATGGGGAAGAGAGAGAGAGAAAGTGAGAATGAGAGTGGAAGAGGAGGAGAGGGTGAGAGTGGGGCTGCAGTGGATACAAGGAGGTCTTTATGATGTCTGAATGTTTTCTCTGTAACTCTCTCTCTCTCTCTCTTTCGCTGTTTCTCTCTCTTCGCTTGTTTTCATGTTTGGGGGATGACATAAATTGTTTAAAAGGCAAGACTTTGACTAGTATATGAGCAGGAGACCAACAGACAGGGGGCAGCAGGTAGCATAGTGGTTAGAGAGGCGAGCCATCAGCCAAAGGGTTGCCAGTTCAAATCCCGGGTCTGAGGGGGAAAATCTGTCAGGAAGTGAGTTGGCAACCGGAGGGTATCAATTCCTGGATGCCATTACCTGCCATTGTGCCCTTGATCAAAGCATGTATCCCCCACAACAACAGCTCCCCGGAAGCCCAATGTGGCTCTCCAAAACAGGTGCATTAATGTATGCATGTGTGTCTTTTGGTTGGGTTAAAAAGCGGAAGTCAAATTTCAGTTGGACTTTGTGTGCAATTAACCAATAAAGTGATCTTAATCTTTGTAGCCTATGTTTTCCTTCTACACATGTGGCTGCTGTACAGAGAAGGCACAAAGAGCAGTTTGTAGGAAAAGGAAATTCTACGAGAAGAATTCAAACCAAACTTGTTTGGATTATGTAGAAGGGAAAGTTTCCTCAAATCCTCCTGTCACATACTGTACTGTGTTAATGCACCTACCTGTAATGTTAAAGGGGAAGCCACACCACAGTCTTAAAGGGATATGTTGTTATTTTCCTGGCAGATTCCCAGAGTTTCCTGGACAGTAGTATGAACCAGACTCCAGTGTCGTCGGAAGGACAGCTGTTCTGCTCGGAAGTGTCTGTCACTACCGCCTCCTGTCAGAGAATGTTCGGATCCATGCGGTCTGTATTGTCAGGCAGCCCCTTCCCACACACAGACAGGTACTGTTGGCAATCACACTCTAACGTGTGTGTGTGTGTACTATACTGTAGCTACATCTGTGTTTATATCTGACCTTGCCCTCCTCTCTCCTCCTCAGCCAAACTCCACCTCCAGTGTGGCTGGACAGGACTCCTATGTCCCTGTCCTCCCCGTCCCCCTCCCCCTCTCTGTCTCCGCTCAGCCTCCCCAATGCCCACAGCTCTCCCCGGGGGGTCCCGAGGGGCCTGGAGGGATCTGGGGACCTGAGCTGGGGTGAGAGGAACAAGGGGTACCAGAGCCAGGGGGACTTAGCCTCTCTGCTGCTGGGGAATGGAGGTCTGGGACTGGAGCACAGCCTGTTGGAAGCAGTGGAGGGGCTGGGGGGCCTGGATCTAGGCCTGGGTCTAGGCCTGGACCTGGGGCTTGGAGAGGGCGGACTGGGGGGACTGCCACCCCTGCTGCCTGAGAAGAGGGTACCGGGGCTGGGGCTGGGTGGGTTGACATCCCCCTCGTTCAGTGGGTTCTCCAGCCCCCACAGTGGTAGTAGTCTCAGCATCCCCTTCCCTTCAGCCATGACCCCTGACCCTCTCATGACCTCTGACCCTCTCAAAGGACTCAGCGCTGGTGGTGGTGGAGCCCCTTCACCTGGATCAGGTACACACACACACACACACACACACACACACACACACACACACACACACACACACACACACACACACACACACACACACACACACATACAGTCCCTCTGCTGGCCCATGTTGTGTTATAAACATACACAGTATAGACAGGTATATGTTGACTCCATACATACAGTGAAATCAGGCATGCTGTTGTCTTTGTATGTACAGTGCCAGTCAAAAGTTTGGACACACCTACTCATTCAAGGGTTTTTCTTTATTTTTACTATTTTCTACATTGTAGAATAATAGTGAAAACATAAAAACTATGAAATAACACATATGGAATCATGTAATAACCAAAAATGTGTTAAACAAATCAAAATATATGTTATATTTTAGATTCTTCAAAGTAGCCACCCTTTGCCTTGATGACAGCTTTGCACACTCTTGGCATTCTCTCAACCAGCTACACCTGGAATGCTTTTCCAATAGTCTTGAAGGAGTTCCCACATATGCTGAGCACTTGTTGGCTGCTTTTCCTTCACTCTGTGGTTCAACTCATCCCAAATCACCTCAATTGGGTTGAGGTCAGGTGATTGTGGAGGCCAGGTCATCTGATGCAGCACTCCATCACTCTCCTTCTTGGTCAAATAGCCCTTACACAGCCTGGAGGTGTGTTGGGTCATTGTCCTGTTGAAAAACAAATGATAGTCCCACTAAGCGCAAACGAGATGGGATGGCGTATTGCTGCAGAATGCTGTGGTAGCCATGCTGGTTAAGTGTACCTTGAATTCTAAATAAATCATTGACAGTGTCACCAGCAAAGCACCCCCACACCATCACACCTGCTCCTCCATGCTTCACGGTGGGAACCACACATGCAGAGATCATCCATTCACCTACTCTGCGTCTCACAAAAATCTAAAATTTTGACTCATCAGACCAAATGACAGATTTCCACTGGTCTAACGTCCATTGCTCGTGTTTCTTGGCCCAAGCAAATCTCTTCTTATTATTGGTGTCCTTCAGTAGTGGTTTCTTTGCAGCAATTCGACCATGAAGGCCTGATTCACGCAGTCTCCTCTGAACAGTTGATGTTGAGATGTGTCTGTTACTTTAACTCTGTGAAGCATTTATTTGGGATGCAATTTCTGAGGCTGGTAACTCTAATGAACTTATCCTCTGCAGCAGAGGTAACTCTGGGTCTTCCATTCCTGTGGCGGTCCTCATGAGAGCCAGTTTCATCATAGCGCTTGATGGTTTTTGCGACTGCGCTTGAAGAAACTTTAAAAGTTCTTGAAATGTTCTGTATTGACTGACCTTCATGTCTTAAAGGAATGATGGACTGTCGTTTCTCTTTGCTTATTTGAGCTGTTCTTGCCATAATATGGACTGGTATTTTACCAAACAGGGCTATCTTCTGTATACCACCCCTACCTTGTCCCAACACAACTGATTGGCTCAAACGCATTAAGAAGGAAAGAAATTCCACAAATTAACTTTTAACAAGGCACACCTGTTAATTGAAATGCATTCCAGGTGACTACCTCATGAAGTTGGTTGAGAGAATGCCAAGAGTGTGCAAAGCTGTCATCAAGGCAAAGTGTGGCTACTTTGAAGAATCTCAAATATAAAATATATTTTGATTTGTTTAACACTTTTTTGGTTACTACATGATTCCATATGTGTTATTTCAGAGTTTTGATGTCTTCACTATTATTCTACAATGTAGCAAATAGTACAAATAAAGAAAAACCCTTGAATGAGTAGGTGTGTCCAAACTTTTGACTGTACCATCGTGCTCTAGTCTGTTTGTCTCTTCCTCTCTCTCTAGAATGGGAGAGTCAGACTCAGTGGTTGTCTTTGCCTGTGCTTTGTGTTGCAGACCTGTTTGCCAGTAAGCAGGAGAGTGTGAAGTTTGTTCAGGACACATCCAAGTTCTGGTACAAGCCTGACATCTCCAGAGATCAAGGTAAATATTGTCTCTAAATATTAGACATCTGCTGCAAGAACTGTGTGTTAGTGAGTGTGTGTGTGTGTGTGTATGTTGACACCCTATTTCCTATATAGTGCACAACTGCTATGGGCCCTGGTCAAAAGTAGTGCACTATATAGGGAATAGGGTGGCCATGTGGGTGTTGTGACTTTCTGTGTAAGACATGTGTTTTGTCCTCTGTGGTGCTCTGTAGCCATCACTGTGCTGAAGGACAGAGAACCTGGATCTTTTGTCGTCAGGGACAGTCACTCGTTCCGCGGAGCCTACGGATTGGCTATGAAGGTGGCTACACCCCCTCCCTCTGTCCTGACACAGAGCAAGAAAGGTTGGTGTCATAGGCTAAATTTTTGAGCGTCCCATTCTCTATTAAGTATGAAGTGCGCTACTTTTGACCAGAGCCCTATGGGAATATGAACTCCTGAGTGGCGCAGTGGTCTAAGGCACTGCATCGCAGTGCTAACTGTGCCACTAGATCCTGGTTCGAATCCAGGCTCTGTCGCAGCCGGCCGCGACCGGGAGATTCATGGCCGGCGCACAATTGGTCCAGGGTAGGGGAGGGAATGGCCGGCAGGGATGTAGCTCAGTTGATAGAGCATGGTGTTTGCAACGCCAGGGTTGTGGGTTCGTTTCCCACGGGGGGCCAGTATAAAAAAAATATGTATTCACTAACTGTAAGTCGCTCTGGATAAGAGCGTCTGCTAAATGACTAAAATGTAAAATGGAATAGGGTGCCATTTGGGACACAGCCTCAGAGAGGTACATCAGTTCCAGCATGGTCTCATTAGATTATGTCATAATAGGGTCATTCCAATTCATTTCAGTAAGCCATGACACCCACCATCTCAGATTGTTCTGAAATGGATTCTGTAGAAACAGATAAGATAAGCCTTCCTGTATCATTCTTTTGTTGAAAGACAATTTGAACTCTGAGAAATTAAGGTAATTGATTGAACCCAAATTGGCCATTTCAATTTATAGGATTCATATAATATTCAATTGATATAGTACCCATCATCCGATTTGTACCAAACCTCTTCTTAACAATGATTAAGACGTGAGGAATCCAAGTAAATGGCCAAAAGCCACGCACGGACCCCCCCAAACCCCACACCAAGCCGACCCCAATGGCCAGTATACATGATCAGTTCTCTATGTATAATAAGTAGTATGAAGCTGCGGCTTGGAATAATGTTAATTCATACTATGTAATGTATTCTCAGTGAATTTGGTGCTGTTGTTTTTGTTTCTTTTCAGAGAAATTAGCCATTGAAGTCACTTGCATTTTCCCCCATAAATTAGTGTGAAAGTACCAGGTTTTTCCCACTAGATGCTGCTGTTTCTGCTTCTGCCACACACATTTATCCATCAGAAATGCACTTTCTTGTGCTTTTTGAGGTGGAACGACTCAGTAGTGACATTTAACCATTGTAGTTATATAGTGTGTCACTTCTGACTTATTTCAAATGAGATATGTCTGTCAGTCCAGGGCAGTGTAGGGTGAAGTTACCCCTAGATGCTGACCCTGGGTCAATTTGGTATTTTCTCCACTAATGGTTAAGGTTAGGATTGGGGGAAGGGAAGCTGATCCTATATCTGTACCTAGGGACTTGCCATTTCTCCACACCTCTCTGACTCTGAGATCCCTCTCTGATGATGTCACTTCCTGTCTCCACAGTGGGAGGGGACCTGTCCAATGAGCTGGTGAGGCACTTCCTGATTGAGTGCACGCAGAAAGGGGTACGACTTAAGGGCTGTCCCAACGAACCCTACTTTGGTGAGGACATATTCCTGTGTGTTGTGTTATGTGGTGTGCATATGTTTACTGTATGTGTGTTGTGTTGTGTGACTATGGCTGCGTTTAGACAGGCAGCCCAATTCTTAAATTTGTTTCAGTAATTGGTATTTGGACCAATCAGATCAGCTCTAGGAAAAGATCTGATGTGAAAAGATCTGATGTGATTGGTCAAAAGACCAATTAGTGGAAAAAAATATCAGAATTGGGCTGCCTGTGTAAATGCAGCCTAAGTTTACTGTATGTGTGCATATGTTCAGTTTTGATGAAATAATATGCAATGTCTTCCTCTGGTGGACATACTGAGTAGTGCATCTAAACAGGTCCATAATAACTAGATGGTATGTGAAAGCATCTGAGACAGTCTGTTTCCTGTTCCTCACAGGAAGTCTGACTGCGTTGGTCTGTCAACATTCCATCACCCCCATGGCCCTGCCCTGCAAACTCATCATCCCCGACAGAGGTAAGAAAGTGCGTGTGTTTGCAGTGGTGTAAAGTACTTATGTACAAATACTTTAAAGTACTACTTAAGTAGTTTTTTTGGGTATCTGTACTTTACTTTACTATTTATATTTTTGATTACTTTTACTTTTACTTCACTACATTCCTAAAGAAAATAATGTACATTTTACTCCATACATTTTCCCTGACACCCAAAAGTACTCGTTACATTTTGAATGCTTAGCAGGACAGGAAATTGGTACACTCACGCACTTATCAAAAGAACATCCCTGGTCATCCCTACTACCTCTGATCTGGAGGACTCACTAAACATAAATACTTTGTTTGAAAATGATGTCTGCATGTTGTATTGTGCCCCTGGCTATCCGTAAATAAAAAAAACAAGAAAATTGTGCCGTCTGGTTTGCTTAATATAAGCAATTTGAAATGATTTATACTTGTACTTTAACTTTTGATACTTAAGTATATTTTTGCAAGTAAATTTACTTTTGATACTTAAGTATATTTAAAACCAAATACTTTTAGACTTTTACTCAATTAGTATTTTACTGGGTGACTTTCACTTTTACTTGAGTCATTTTCTATTAAGGTATCTTTACTTTTACTCAAGTATGACAATTGGGTACTTTTTCCACCACTGTGTGTTTGTGTGTGTGTGTGTGTGTGTGTGTGTGTGTGTGTGTGTGTGTGTGTGTGTGTGTGTGTGTGTGTGTGTGTGTGTGTGTGTGTGTGTTTTTATAAATTCCGCCAAACTCTTTTTTCTTTCTGTGTTGTCAGACCCTCTGGAAGATACTAGTGAGCCATCAACACAGTCAGCCACCAACTCTGCTGCTGAGCTACTCAAACAGGGAGCAGGTACTGTTTTATCTCAGCTCTCCTCTTCTCTGACATGGTGGGTGTGTGTTTCAGTGTGTCTCTGTTTCAGTGTGTGTGTGTGTGTGTGTTACTGTGTATGACGTGTGTGTGTGTGTATGTTTCCCCTCCCCAGCCTGTAATGTGTGGTTCCTGGGCTCAGTAGAACTGGAGTCTCTAACAGGGTACCAGGCTGTGCAGAAGGCAGCCAGTCTGACTCTGGCCATGGACCCTCCTCCTACCTCCACTGTGGTCCACTTCAAAGTCTCAGCCCAGGGCATCACCCTCACTGACAACCAGAGGAAGTGAGTCATACACACAAATGCATGCACACACTCATAATGTAAAGAACCTCCTAATTGCAACAGATATTATATACCTACACTACAATGCACTCACCCCTCACTGCCTGTCTCTGTCTCTCTCTCTGTCTGTAGGCTGTTCTTCAGGAGACACTACACTGTCAATACAGTCATATTCTGTGCTCTTGACCCACAGGAACGCAAGTGAGTACTGTACACTCCATGGTGTGTGTGTGTTCCAGATAATCATGCATGGTAATTGAACCTATTCTCTTCTCACCAGGTGGACTAGAGATGGCTGCTCCTCTGCTAAGTAAGTCATCCCCTCATTTCACCTCCTCTCATTCTTTCTCTCTCTCTGTCTCTTTCTGTCTCTCTCTCTCTCTCTCTCTCTCTTTTTTTTATCTATCTATCTCATTGTCTATCGTTACTCCCTCTATCAATCAGAGCTATCACTTCTCTTTTCTGAATTATTTATTGAATAGCACTGGGTCGTCTTCATTAGTACACACCATAGCGAAACATAGCAAAACGTTTTGCAACGGAAATTTTTTGCAATTAAAATGTGTTTCTTATTGGATAAAATTCAGGTAGGTCACCCCCCATTTCGGCCCATTTGTTTCCGTTTCATTCCTTGTGAATATTACTCTGGATTATTCTGTTTGGCTGTTGAAGCTGAAGGCTTACTGAGCTTCTCTGCTGTTTCTCCTGTCAGGATCTTTGGTTTTGTGGCGAGGAAGTCGATGAATGGGACAGAGAACGTGTGTCACGTGTTTGCTGAACACGACCCCGAACAACCTGCCAGTGCCATCGTTAACTTTGTCTCCAAGGTGATGATTGGCTCACCGAAGAAATAAGACGTGTACACACTCTCACACACACACACACACAAACACACATTGTTTGTCCTGCTGGTACATATGGCACTAAAATGCTGATGTAGAAGAGAAGAGACTAATCTGTTGCATTATGGGATACTATCCGCAGAAGGCAGCACAGTAACAACAACTTTACCCTACACACCAGGGGCCTCATTTATAAACGTTGCATATGAACAAAATTTGCCCCAAAATCTGCATGTGCCAGTTTTCAACAAAAGTTGAGAATGTGAGAATGTGCTCACCTTCCCGCAAATGGTAGACCATGCATATGCACATCTGCTAGTGGTTGAAATATTGTATTACAAGCTGGCAAGTAAGTATTTCGTGCAAATGGGGGATATGATGAAAAGATTATTAATAAAAAACTAAAAATCTGGAAAACATGTGAACAAGAATGCAGCCATTTGCCGTTAGTGAGAAGTGCGAAAATCTATGTTTTGTTTTTATAATCTAAAATAATTTGACATTTATTTTATTTTCATAACCATTGCAGAATACATTCTGCACCTTTTCTGGCCGTGATTGCTTCATATTCCCGAAGGAGCCATACAACAAATGATCATGCGCATCTCATTTAATTGGACCTAGTAGGGTAGTAAATAGCTATATGTATTTGAAGTTTTGCGATATCATGGGCAGCACGGTTTATAATACCGCTATACAGTCGCATTTAACAAGTGAACAGATGCTCTTTTACATTGAACTGGGCCTTAGTGAGCTAACGTAAGGACTGTAATTGCATATAATTATTTTGTTGCCTGCAATAGACAATGTTTCAGAATTCGCGGACAGTCAATCATAGGTTGGAGGAAAAGTCGATGCAAAACATTGTTTAATTATTAACGTTCTGCTGACAGGTCCACAGCAATTAGCCATTATTTTGTCTTCCAGAAACTGACACAGTCCTTTTCCAGATACAGCATCAATTACTGCTAAAGATTAAAACATCCTGCCAACACAGTAAATAGACCGGTAGTTTATGTAAAATATTTGACAGTATGGGTAGGCTTAGGCTACAGTATTGCTGTGCGATAAGACCACAACATCATTGCCTATTTAATCTCAGAGCCTATACCAAGGTAGGACATAGAATCACAATAATATATTGAACAACAATTATTGTTTTGCATGCTGTGGCCTAATGCCAATCGTTCCAAATTATACGTCAAATAAAGGGCGTTATGATCACCATAACAGGTAAATGGAGGGTGTTTTCCAGGCAGTTTTAATGGTCGTTCACGCACGGTTTTACAACAGGTCTGATTTATAATGGGAAACGTGCATATGTATGGCGTGCGCCAAATTTATTAATCTAAATATTTTTGTACATGTGCTGACTTTTCAGGGAATGTGGCATGCAGAAATGTATTGTGAAATGTGTGAAATGTATGCAATGGTTATAAATGAGGCCCCAGGGGAGTAGGGTGATGTTGCCCCTAGATGCTGATCTGTTCCTAGGATAAACTTTACCCTGAAGCGCATCGAGGACTTAAACTTCTCATGAAAAACAGACTTTATTAATATAACTTTTGCTTATCAGAGGAGGCTGATGGGCAGAGATCATTGTAATGGCTGGAGTGGACAGAATGGTATCAAACACATCAAACACATGGTTTCATTACAATGAGCCAGTCCTCCTATATCTCTGCCCACCAGCCACCACTGCTGTTTATGTATATATAATCAGGATGTCATTGTAAAGGGACATAATCTGTCATGTATGATATGTATTTTTAATTGAGACATGTTTTCAACAACTTTATTTGTTGAACTGTAATCTATATGATATTGTCCCTCTAATCACACAGCATTGCTAGTCTGTCTCTACCCACCATACAGAGTAAAAGGCTCTCAACAAAAAACATGGTCCCGTTTAATCACTTCAGCCAATCCCTTTTAACTCATAATATCAATGAAACACTCAATCCAGTGCTTGACTTGGTCCGGAACACGCCAATATAAACAGTACCGGCACCTAGTCCAAGTCATGCACTGCTACTACAATGTACTGGGTTTGTTTAAAAGCTTTGTTTTTTTAGAAGCTTCTCATATAGATACTATGTACTGTACTTTTCCTCTGTAAGCCATTTCATACTAGTATCAATTTACAGTTATTTTCAATCGCTTTGGTGCTATTTTCACAAGTATGTGGTGAATTTTCTAAACTCTTAGTACAAAACTCCAAACTGGTAACACTTGTAAAGCAGCCAGTCTTAAATTCAAAACCTTTTATTGTGTATTAATTTGTAGTGGGATTAATTTTAATTTCCATAATTTCTATGCCATGTGTGATCAAAGGTGTGATCATTGAAGACATCTTTCACAATCATTGATGCAAAAAAATAAATGTATTGTTCAGAAATAATTAAAACATAGCTGTACTGTAATCATATGAAACCATTGAAATGAATGAAAAAAAAACAGCGTTTAGCAGGCACTCGTTTTCATCAAGCCTGTCTTGACCATTTGGCCATAGGTTCTCATCGACATCGCAGTAAATGTTCTCATTGTTCATGCACCTGGTGAAAAACATTTTGGCACGGCTAATCCAAGCCTGACATCTGGATTGATGTCATTGCATGCCTCATCCATGGCCTGGATGAGGGTGGCACGCTCATGGGGATGGCGATCATACACCTTCCACCTGTATTGTAATTATGTATTGTATTTTACAGTATTGTATTGTACTTATATACTGTATTGTAGTGGTCCTGTGTAGCTCAGTTAGTAAGAGCATGGCGCTAGCAATACCAGAGTGGTGGGTTGAATTCCAGGGTTGGGGTCAATTCCATTTAAATTCCAGTCAATTCAGGAAGTACACTGAAATTCCAATTCCAATTCTTGTCAATCAGGAACATTTGGAATTAGAATTGGAATTTGGTTTCACGTGACTTTCTGAATTCACTGGAATTTAAATGGAATTTACCCCAGCTCTGTTCGATATACAAGAATGTGTGGACTCACTGTGGTCCCTTTGGATAAAAACGCCTGCTACGTAAATGGCATATGTTACAGTATTACAGTACTGTATTGGCCAATACAATTTTTGTAAATCAGTGTAAACCCCCCCCCCCCCCCCCCCCCCCATCAAAAAGACCCCAGCAACTTCATTTTGGAATTCATGTTTACTGTATAGGGCAGGGGTATTCAACTCTTACCCTACAAGGCCCAGAGCCTGCTGGTTTTCTGTTCTTAATTGCACACACCTGGTGTCCCAACCAGTTTAAAATATATAGGTTTACCAAATTAAGTGATTATGAATCAAGAGCAGTCGAATGAAGTAATAGTAAAATGTATTTTAACAAATGAGAAGACAATCATATCAAAAGCAATGTGAGCATTGCATTGTGAAAAGCAATTACTTTGTATTACCTTACATGTATTGCAATGTGAAACATGTATTTCTAGATAAAACACTGATTAAGTTTTGTGAAAGATTGACTGTATGATATTGTGTGTTGTATTGAGTCAATTGAAAATGTAGTGATCTGTTTTGAGTTTTGTACTAAGAGTTGTGAGAATTTGCCACATCCTTGTGAAAATTGCACCAGAGAGATTGGAGGAAAAAATTGAATAGCATCATGCAGGTGTAGGATCAGCAAACGTGTAGTATATTTGAGATTTAAAAAGGCTTCTAAAGTTTGTAATGTCTACTTGATTTGCCCTAACTAAAAATGTATCAACCCCTACAAAAATGTGCAGCATTAATTATAATCCACACAATAATTCACATTTCCTGTTGCTGCAGGATTATTTTCCTGCTGTGAGAAACGGGTCAAATTAAGATCCTATCTGTAGTTAGAGTTTCAGATCAGAGCACTGATGACTTAGACAAAACAGACCGCACCAATGATCGGTTAAAATCAGTAGGTGGCCATCCTATCGTATCTGACCACAGAACATCATCTGCGATTTTTAAAAATCAATTTCCTGACGAGTCTACATGTTGAATCGTCTCTGTTTGTTGACACCCAATAGATGATCTTCTGGGCACGGCCAACGTTTGTTATTATATTGTGTCTTCCCTCCTAGACAAAAGCTAATATCTGTTGTCCCTTTTAATAGATTTGAACAGATTTTAAAAGATGCAGCCTTTAAAGTTTTACACATTGGCAGAAGTATTTATCATTGATCATTGATGTGCATAAATGTTTTTATAAAGACATATGTCTTTGATAACATTGTTTTTGTATATTTAACATGATGCATTATGTTTGAATGAAGAATAACTGAGAAGACATGAAACCATGCAACATATTGACGAGTAGGCTAGTATGGTGATGTGTTGCTCTTGAGAAGAGAGTGGTGTAGCCATGGTAAGTATGTGAGGAAGACTACGTCCCAAATGGCAACCTATTCCCTATAGTGTATAGTGCACTAAACCCACTGGACACAGATGTCAGTTCAACGTCTAGTTTTAACAATGTCATTGGATTTATATTAAAAGTTGGATGAAAAACAAGAACATGTTGGTGTATACGTTGGTGACTTTTTTTTTTACATTTAAGCAGTTTTCCATGTTGATTCAACATCACATGTATTTATTTTGTAGAAATGACATTGAAACCATGTTGATTCAAACAGTTTGTGCCCAGTGTGAAGTAGAGCATGATGCGCTTGGGAACTGTTTTCCATACTCATATGTTTCTGTGATCCATGTCTCCTACTTTAGTATTTTCCAGTGTTTTCCAGCACCCAAATCATAACTTGGGCACTTTATTGTAAAAATGTGTAAATTAATGTTGTATAGTTGGTACTGTAACGTTATCCTCACTCACATATTTTCGGAAAATAAAAAAACAACAACTCATGTGTTCCATAGTTTATACATTTGTCATTTAGGCTATGGCCACATAGATATGTTGTGTCCAAAATTTACATATTGAACTTTTGCATATGCAAATGAATGACTTGAGTAGAACTTTTGC